AGGTGTGGGGTGCGGGGCAATGTTCCTGGCAGAGGGATGTGCCGTGAGCGCTTCTCTCCCGCTTGCTGCCTGACCAGGACTGGCCATTTTGCCTCTCCAGTCTCAGCATCCTCCCCTGACTAATGGGATCAGCCATAGTAACTACATCCTGGGTTGCTTTGGAGATTAGCCTTGCCTGGCACACAGTAGGTACTCTATATATTTCCCAGCACTGGCTTTCTATTAAATTACCGTTATTACTAACGTCATAAAAAGTGCAGATGCCTGAATCCCCAGAGGAGACAGCCTGGCCCTTAGGATAAGGAAGGGCTACGGGAGAGGAGGCTCCAGCCTCCCCCGCCACCCCGTGTCTAGTGCTGTGCATGGTGCAGCGGGGCCCCTGAGTACCAGCCTTGTACAAGGACCCTGTCCCTGGGGGTGAGCCCGGAGCTGCGAGGCAGACTAAGCTGATTAGTGAGCAGGGCGGCACCTGCCGCCCTCATTTGCACCATGAGAGCAATGAGAGAGGGTGCTGGGCCTCCAGCAGCTCAGCGGATGTTTGCTGAGTGATTCTACCCCCAGGGCGGCTGGGAGCAGAGAGGGCCCTGACCTCAAGGGCCAGCTTTCTTCCGCTCCCATTTTTCCTGTAGACTCAGTCAGGTAAGGCCTAGAACTGAAAGCCCGCCTCGGGCTGGAAACTGCTCACAAGATTAAGGGCTTCCCTGCGCCATCGCTCTCTCCAGCTTCTGGACCAGGCCACCCCAGTGTAGACGGTGCCTGTTGTACCAAGTAGAAGAGGTGCCTCTCCCAGGCAGGGCGGGGATTTGAGCCCCCACGCGCCTCTTAACTGCTTTTCTACCCATCTCCTCCTGCAACCCCCACCCCATCTGCAGAGCACCTGTTTTGAGAAGCCCCGTGGCTTTGGGTGGGGACACAGGCAGGACTGGGGTCCAGCCTGTGGCCTGGTGTGCTGTTCTCTGAGGAGGAGATGGACGAGATGAGTCCTTCCTTCCTGTGACCACTCGTGGAGCCCTGGGTGGATCCCCCTGGGCCCCTTGTGCCTCCTGCTGGCGAGTGCCGGCAAGTTTGTTTGCAAAGTTGGGCTTTTGGGTGACTTGTGACAGGACTGTCAGCCACTCCCCGTTCCCCTTATTCCTTCCGCTCTGGCTCTACCGACCCAGGCTCATTAAAGCCTCGGGGCCTTTGCTTCTGCTGTTCCTCTGTGTGGAAGGTTCTTTCCCTGATGCTTTATGTGGCTCGTTCCCTCCCATGCCTCCTGAAGGCCTCCCATTAAGGCCCTCTCCTCAGAGGAGCCTTCCCTGATCC